CTTTTGTGAAAAAACTTTACCCTTCATTTGGGCCCCCCGAAAAATTTTGATACAGGGCCCCGCTAAGGCACGCTACTCCACTGATTATAAGGTCCTTGGAGTCGCATTTTAAATTAGGGATGGGCAAGGAAAAAAAGGCAAGGGCAAGGGAAAGATGTACCAATTTATATCGTAACGATATTTTTAAGCAGTATCGATAAATATCGCGTGATAAATATTGATATATCGTCATCAATTGCATGATGTAAATATAAGGTCCAAATTTTATATTACTGCCAGTTGGACGACGACAAAAAAAACAACAACCAACTACATATGAATACTTTGGTACCTCCTTTTGTTATTACATGTTTTGTCATTAATACAACATTTTAAAATATATCGAAATTGATACGAATTCGTAAAAATAGATTGGGTCAAAAATATCAATATTTTTTACCTAAGCCTATTTTAAATCATAAATTAAAATTATTCGGCTAGATTTAGAATCTTTGCTTGCTACATATTTATTTATCTATGAATCTTTGTAAAAATAATAATAATAAAGAGAAATGGCCTATAGGTCTAGATACCGGCCACACAGAGTACATTATATACCAGGCCATAAACTCCAAGATTTAGGAGGAAGCGCGGGAACCTTGAAACGTGATAGGCGCCTTTTTTAAACTAAAATTTTAATTTTGTTTTATTTAGTTAAAAGGCACTAAACTTTTATTGTTTTATTGTTACTGGGTTTCCTCATCATGGGGAAACGTAGAAAAAGAAAGTTGCCGGGAGAAGAAGAAGCGTTTGAAGAAACGACTGAGGAGGAAGAAATTGATACCAGTACTGAGGAAGATCTTGAGAAAGAGCAGCGCAAGTATAAGGCGTACTTTGTATCTGACTACAACACGAGGTACCCGGAGGACTCTATTCTCGTTGATTTTGTTGTATTTGTCGAATCAAATGATGAAAGAAGGCCAATCGGCACCGTGGGGGTCAAGTCTCTATGGAGCCTATGCAAACGTCGGGCAAAATAAGCGAAACAGAGACAGCGCTATAAGCAAGACAGAGAAATCACTATTGAATCATGTTACGCATTGTATTTCAATTACAGTTTAGGAACTTTTATTTTTGCATTTTAATATCTATGTCGCCTGCCCATTAAAAATTATCTTTATATATATTTTGATAAATTGTAAACTATATATTTTGTAATATACATAACAAATAAAAGTTGTTTAATCCATGAAAGTATAAATTAAATTATACATTCCGATTGTATTTATGTCCGATCGAAATGATTACTCTGTGCAACAAGCTCTGTAGCCGAAAATATAAACGTATCTATGGCTGTTGTGAAATAAAAATGTAAACTATTATTCATAAATAATACACTATATACCGGGGACTATTATTATTTATTACATATTCATTAGACATGGGCAATGTGTATCACTTAAAAGAAAAGATTGATATGTATCTTTTGATCACTAGGATATGTATCACTCTTTTATATCTTTATATCCTTATGTATCAGTAGATCATGCTCGCGTTCACGACACGCATCGCATTACATTTCGTTGCTCACTCAGCGTGGCTCGCTTCGCTCAACTCAATCCTATCAGTAAGAGTGATAGATACCTATAGACCTATATATAAGACCTATAGAGCTGTTTGCATTTTGCTTGGTCGTAACATTGTGCATCTTTCTGATATATTTGGTTGCTGTTTCTTTCTAGGTATTTTTTAATCATAACAAATAGTGTTATGATCAAAAAATTAAAGTTTTTTTATTTCTCAGACATGCCGGTTTTCTCACGATGTTTTCCTTCATCGCCGAACACGTGGTAAATCAGCACTTAAAATTGCAATCAACAATTTCATTGATGCCGGCGGGGATCGAACCCGGGTTGCTCGCGTACTGTGAAACTTACAGCGATCATTATTATTGTTATGATTGATAAATATTAATAGGCACTTACTCGAAAAATTTACTTACAATTTTAGTTTAAAATAATAATTAAATAAATGATTAACGTAAATAACATAGGTAGGGTATTTTTAATAATTTTAAACTAATATACCTACGGATTTGTTCGGAACCCTGGGTGCGCGAGTCCGACTCGCACTTGGCCGTTTTTTTATGGATATAAACGACTACTATTTCGGTTATAAAACTTTCTTAAAAACGATGGTTTTATAACCGAAATTAGTTTGCATTGTTTACTAAAAAATGCATAGGCAAAATACACATAGGTACGGTTTAAACCAGTGTAATACTTAAATGTTAACGTACCGCTTAATGACTTTAAGCACTATGCGCCAGTCATAGAGTTATCAATTTACCTTTTTGTGCCAACGTATTACAGTTTATAATGGTCAAACAACTCACTCTCTCCGTCTTGCCAAAGCGCGACAGAACATTCTAAATAGTGAGCTGCGAAAGAAACGTCTGTACTATGGACTTCGAAATCTTCCTGGAATGCCCAGCCACGCCGGCCGAGGTATAATAGAAAGCAGTGTGCGCAATGTGCGACACAGATGTTAGATATAAAAAGTTAAAAGATGCCTTGAGTGAATAAGTTGTAAAGATATACTGATACAGTGATACATTCGGATGCGGATGGATATAAAGATTGATTAATGGAAACGGATTGATTCATATCTTTTGTATCTATCTTTCCTGAGTTACCCATCTCTAATGGGCAATGTGTATCACTTAAAAGAAAAGATTGATATGTATCTTTTGATCACTAGGATATGTATCACTCTTTTATATCTTTACATCCTTATGTATCAGTAGATCAAGCTCGCGTTCATGACCCGCATCGCATTACATTGCGTTGCTCACTCAGCGTAGCTCGCTTCGTTCAACTCAATCCTATCAGTAAGAGTGATAGATACCGATCGACCTATATATAAGACCTATAGAACTGTTTGCATTTTGATTGGTCGTAACATTGTGTATCTTTCTGATATATTTGGCTGCTGTTTCTTTCTAGGTATCTATTTGTTATGATCAAAAAATTAAAGTTTTCTTATTTCTCAGACATGCAGGTTTCCTCACGATGTTTTCCTTCATCGCCGAACACGTGGTAAATCAGCACTTAAAATTGCAATTAACAATTTCATTGGTGCCGGCGCGGCGGGGATCGAACCAGGGTTGCTCGCGTACTGTGAAACTTACAGCGAGCGCTATTATTATTATGATTGATAAATATTAATAGGCACTTATTTGAAAAATTTACTTAAATTTTTAGTTTAAAATAATAATTAAATAAATGATTAACGTAAATAACATAGGTAGAGTATTTTTAATAATTTTAAACTAATATACCTACGGATTTGTTCGGAACCCTGGGTGCGCGAATCCGACTCGCATTTGGCCGTTTTTTTATGGATATATACGACTACTACTTCGGTTATAAAACTTTCTTAAAAACGATGGTTTTATAACCGAAATTAGTTTGCATTGTTTACTAAAAAAATCATAGGCAAAGTACACATAGGTACAGTTTAAACCAGTATAATACTTAAATGTTAACGAACCGCTTAATGACTTTAAGCCCTATGCACCAGTCATAGAGTTATCAATTTACCTTTTTGTGCCAACGTATTACAGCTTATAATGGTCAAACAACTTACTCTCTCTGTCTTGCCAAAGCGCGACAGAATATTCTAAATAGTGAGCTGCGAAAGAAACGTCTGTACTATGGACTTCGAAATCTTCCTGGAATGGCCGGCCACGCCGGCCGAGGTGTAATAGAAAGCAGTGTGCGCAATGTGCGACACAGATGTTAGATATAAAAAGTTAAAATATGCCTTGAGTGAATAAGTTGTAAAGATACACTGATATAGTGATACATTCGGATGCGGATGGATATAAAGAGTGATTGATGGAAACGGATTGATTCATATCTTTTGTATCTATCTTTCCTGAGATACCCATCTCTAATATTCATAAAATTAAAAAAGAACAAGTTTCAAAGTTCATTTTACATCAATTAGATATTATTTTAAACGGGAATGTTTCAAATCATTTTCAAATTAAATGGAGTTAGTTTTGTTTAACTTTTCTAAGCCAAATTCAAAACTAATGTCGATTTAGTATGTTTCGTAGAAAAATAACTTAAGTGTGGTGTTACTAGCCAGTGAATATTTAATTTATGGTGATTTATTAGAGTTGTTTTACTTAGTGACGATGCTTACCGAATAATAATGGATTACTGAAAATGGTGTGTTCTAAGATGCGTCTATAATTATCTAAAATTGAGTGCCCAAGTTTATTTCTGTGTCTATAATAATACTAGTCAATAAGATATTTTACTCTCTATGAAAATAATTGTTTTATTTCTGAAAAACTATTAACCGTGTTCCATTCCAATTTTCTACTTATGTATCAATGCATGGCTACTTGTTAACTTTAATCTTCGTCTTAAGGTTTGTGTTATTAAATATTTAAAATTTCCAATATGTTATTCATTTATTACTATTTCCCGTCCAATTTTTTAATAATGTAGAATGTAATTTCTACATTCGTAGAAAATTGGAATGGAAATAGTATGTAATATATTATGATTAAAAATAGAATATTTTTACACACGCACACATTCACATCTGTTAGTTCATGGATTAAAAACTGACGGGCTAGTGTCGCAAGCTGTTGGCATTTTTATTGTATGATGTTTTCGTTCTTCCCGTCAGGGTACATGTATTTTGTGATCGACACGCGGGACATGATGTCTCTGTCCACACATATGAAGAGGTTCAATAAAGGCATTACATATTTGCAATCTATGAATAAATACAAAATAGGCGTTCATTTTGAAAAGCCCTCTCTAGCGAATGCACTTTTAAATAATATTACTTTTCTTAATGAATACAAAATGAAGGCATCTATCCCAGCTGTAGGGACAGAAATAACAGGAGTCATAACCAATTTTCCCACTAATCTTTCTAATCCAAGAATTTTTGGTATGTTAACGACTTACAGGAAGATAATATGTGCTAAAAGGATAATGAGGAAACATAAGAATGATGCACGACGCAGTTTGCTGCAGCCGACGGGCACCGTGGCCATCACATTCGCTTCTAATGTTTTGCCGGACCACGTCGATCTTCATGGTTGGCGTTTCGTTGTAAATCAGTATATTCCACCAGTGAAGCAGTGCTACAATTGTCTGAGGTATGGTCACTTAGCAAAGTATTGTAAAAATTCGGTCAATGCTCAATTTGTACTGAAAATTACAGCTACAAAGATTGCCAAGTCTCTTCAGATAAAGCGATATGCATACATTGCAAAGGAAACCATCTATGCATTTCTGGACAGTGTCCTGTTAAGAAACAAAAGATAAAAGAAAATCAGGCTAAATTACACAAAACCCCATTTGTAGACCTTTTTAATAAAAACGAATTCCCTGAATTAAACAAAAAAAATCCCAATGATGCTCTTACGAGTATGTCACTGCTAAAGAATGATGACATTATTTATATAATTTTAAATACAGTCATTAAAGTATTAACTCTTAATAAATCAAATAAACAAATCACCATATCTTCTCAGCTTATTAAAGATGTTCTCATAGATACAATGAAACCAAAATAGATATTTCATTATTTAACATTTAATATTTTATGGATCAGTTTAACATTTTACAATGGAATGCACAGAGTTTAATTAAAAATCGCTTTCAATTTACACAATTTTTAAATGAGAACACCATAGATGTTGCTCTCATATGTGAAACTTGGCTTAAACCTAGGCACAATTTTAGAGTAAAAGGTTATAATATTATACGATTAGATTCAGGTAATGATCATAATGGAGTAGCAATACTTCTACATAACAAAATTGGATTTCGTGTTATTAATACATTCTCTGATGACTCATTACAAAATATAGCTGTACAAATACAATACAATGATAAATTATTAACTTTAGTTAGTGTTTACTGTACCCCTAATTCATCAATTAATTATAATAAATCCAATTAGATAATTTAATCCAAAGTTTGCCACAGCCAGTCTTTATAGCTGGTGATTTCAACGCCCATCACACGTTATGGGGATGTACTGAATTAGATTCACGAGGTAGGGACGTTCTTGCAAGTATAGATGACTCACATTGCAGAATATTACAGACCTATAGCACTTACATCTTGTATGGGTAAAATATTTGAGCAACTTATAAAATCTGCTAATTTACAATATGCAGATGATTTGGTCATATGCAGATGATATGCCTCAGGAACAAATGTCAAAAACTTGGTAACCAATTTAAATGAGGCTTTAAAGAAATTGCACATTTACTTATCATACTTAAATTTAGATATTAGTACTGAGAAAAGTAAAGTCGTAATATTTAATAAAATTCGTCCATTTAACACTAGAATAATTTATAATAATACATTTTTACCAATAGAAAGTTGTGAAAAATTCTTAGCTGTAATTTTTACAAACAATTTATCTTGGACCAAATACGTGAATTCTATTTCAGACAGAGCTTCTAAGGCCTTTAATGTATTAAAAGCTTTGGCTAGTACTAAAAGAAAGTAAGACTTGACAAGGGCCTTTATGGATTTTGAAGAGATGGAAAGAAGAAAAAGAAGACTTGGTTCTGGCCTTTACACTGTAAAATTCTATATATTCAAAATAAAAAAGACAAGGCTGTATGGCTTAGTTCCTTTGCCTGCTCTCTCGAGGGAATAATAAAAACAACAACATAAACTCCAAAAAACATATAGAGAAAAGTCCGGTCCGGTTTGTTGATGAAAAAGAGAATTCAATAATCAATTTTAATTTTTAATAAAGCTATAGAAAACAACAATGGCCTTTAGTGAAGGTGAAGTTTGTAGAATTTGTTTAAGCGTTAATATACGCATGTTTGCACTAAAGGAGACTGGCCTCCAAAATTTGTATAAGACATTGACGAACAGTTTTGTAAGTTTTTTAATATTTATTTATTGCTAAATGAAGTTGCGGTAATTTATTGTTATCACTGGAGAAATACATTATGTTGCCCGATATATGTTCTAAGATGTAGCGTTAAATATAGTGACAAATACAACCAGAACCAGAAAAATAACAATTAGCCTGGTATCCTGGGTCGTACTAAAATCAGAATTATCATTTAAGTAAAGCCTAGTAGGATATATACTTGGGTACGCAAGAAGCGGCATATTGCGCAACATGTCTCTCAACTAATACGTTGAATGCCCCAAGACTTATGTCGCGGAACTTTTTGCAGGTCACACTAGTCACCTAGTCAGTGCTTATAGAAATGTCGCCCGAGCAGGTTGTGGCGATTAGTGCTGTGTACGTAGTGCTTATTTCGGGAGTGAAGCGTAAGCGAAAGAGAAAGAGGTGGATGCAGGATGAGAAGGAAGAGGAATTGATATTTTAAGTGATCTTCGAATGTCTGACAAATCTTTTGTGAATTTTACTCGAATGTTGACATCTGATTTTGAAACTTTAGTGGACCTTCCATAGCCAAACAGGTTACTATACTACGGAATGCTGTTGCCCTCATATCAGTATCAGACTTGCCATTGCATTAAGATACTTGCCGACTGGAGTTTTTTATGCTTTTTTGTTCTTTATTCTAGTGTTGAAACAACTGATCGGCAGAATAGTACTAGAAGTTAGTGGTTAGAAGTATCCCATAACAAATCAAATCATTTATTTGCAATCCAAGTGTACATAATTGGTCTTAAATTAAAAATGTGCTTACAACTTAGAAGCCCTTTTGAGGCACTGCAAATTTGACAAGGGCACTGCTTATATACTATTAACATATATAAAATATAATTAAAAGCTAGAAAAATATATAAAAATATATAATAATGTTATTTTATATTTAAATACTGTTCTACTGAGTAGAAGGGGTTTTGTTTTAAATATTTACCGAGTCTTGATTTAAATTTGGTTAATTCTGATATATTTTTTATTTCCTGTGGTAATTTATTATATACTTTTATTGCCATATAGTAGGGGCTTGCATTTAACATTTTTGTTCACGACTGTGGTAGGTATAATTTATTTTTGTTACATGTAATTATATTATGTGTATCTTTAATATTCTTAAAAATATTATTATTTTTGTGGACAAACAGGCATAGATCATAAATGTACATACAGGGTAAGGTAAGAATATTTAGTTGTTTGAAATACGGTCTACAGCTAGTAGTGTTATCTATCTGGGCTAGTATTCTAATGCACTTCTTCTGGATAATAAAAAGTTGCTGCACATCAACGCTACTTCCCCATGACATAATTCTGTACTTTAGCCACGAATGAGTATAAGCATAGTAAGCTGACAATGCCGTGGCTGTGTCAGTGGTTTATTTAATTTGAAATAAAGCATACGTAAATTTTGAAATTTTAGACTTTATATAATTAATGTGAGTTTTCCAATTGATGTTTGAATCTACTTTCAAACCTAAAAGATTAAAAGTATCAACTTCTTCTAGCTGTATATTAATTATTAAAGTTTATGTTTAAAATTGTTTTAAATTGCATAATTTTGGTCTTTTTAAAGTTAATTTCTAAGTTGTGATCTTCAAGCCAATTTGTTATAGTTTGTAGAGTGTTGTAGACAATATAGTTATAATTTGTGTTTTTATCGCAGTTCACTAACACTCACACATGGTCGGCAAAGAGTATGCTTAATGTGTTTTTGTTATTTATTATCTAGGGTAAATCATTTATGTATATTAAAAACAATAGGCATCCTAAGACACTACCTTGTGGGATTGAACATGTGAGATCCCGGATTTGGGACTGTACTACAACGATTTCCCCATTTTTCATCATTCGTCTGTGATTCGTCTAATATATTGTATTTTTCTAAATAATGATAGAGTTGGTTACACATGGCTTTCTCAAATATTTTAGCAAACGTGGGATGTAGGGCTATGGGTCGATAGTTACTAAGCGTTAGGGGGTCGTCTTTTTTAAATATTGGTTTTATTAATGAAATCTTTAGTGCATCCGGAAACTGAGAATTTTCAAAACTTTGGTTTATAAGTGAAGCTAAAGGAATAGCTAATATTTCTGCACATTTCTTTACCAGGATTGGTGGTATATCATCAATGCCACAGCTATGTTTATTTTTAATATTTTTAATTATATTCATTATTTCTCTTGGATCAACAGGGGTTAAAAAGAAAGAGTTTGTTGGTGGATTTATTACGGGATGTCTATTTACCATATTATTGGAGTTAGAACATTGACCTACAGTGGCAAAGTACTCGTTGAACATATTTGTTACCATGTGGGGGGAAGAAATTAATGTATTATTTTCTTTTAAAATTATATTTTGAGGTAATTTTATTTTATTTTTACCGGTTTTATTATTAATAATTTTCCACATAGTTTTAGTTTTATTGTCAGATTTTTCCATTTGTTTAATGTAATCTATTCTTTTAGATATTTTTATACATTTTTTTAACATTTTACTGTAAGTATTGTAATGTGTTCGTATAACTTCGTTTTTAGTTTCATTTAGCATTATTTTTAATATTCTTTTATGTCTGCACGATTTTTTAATCCCATCGAAAACCAACTTTTTTTAGTACTGTAGTTTTTAATTTTAATTTTTTGTAGTGGTATATGTTTATTCAATATTTTTGTTAAACTAGCAAAGAAATGCGAGTGGTTTTCATTTAATCCTTTATTATATTCTCCCATTTTATTTTATTTAATGATTCCCTAAATTTATTTATATTAACTCTTTTTTGTTGAAAATACGTAATATTTTGTTTTATTAATAAATTACTTGTATCAATTTCTATGTTTATTGCTTTATGATCTGAGATCCCATAGTCAATTACTTGAGATTTCTTTACAAGGGATGAATAATTAGTAAATAGTAAGTCAATGCAAGTGGAGGACTCTTTAGCAACTCTCGTTGGTTTATTTATTAATTGTTGAAGGTTGTGTGAAGCCATGACATTGAAAAAGTTGCGTGTAATTTTGTTTTTATTTCAAATATTTATGTTAAAGTCTCCCGCGATTATAATATATATATTTTTTTTCTTTTGTGTTAAGTTTATTTAGAAGTGTATCTAATTGCTTAAAAAATAATTCTAAGTGTCTATCAGGTCTATATATTCCTATGATAATGCATTTCAGTTTGGGAATTTCTATTGCACATAGTTCAACAATAAATTCTTTGGAATAATTTACAATATCAATTCTTTCTATAAACTCTAAATTGTTTTTTAATATTAAGCAAACTCCACCTCCTTGTCTATATTTCCGGCAAAAGTAAGATGCAATTGTATAGCCTGGGATTGTTAAGGCTTTAACTATCCTGAATGACCTTGACGAAACGGCGATCGCAGAGATTTTAGCC